GGTAAAAAAAGTTGTAGAAAATAAAGATAGCTATCGCCGTTTAATTAATCGGGCAACCAATAAAGTTACCAATAATCCCCATCCAAACATTAATTTTAAATTCCCATTGAAAATGTCTTTCTGATTGAAAAAATTCTTTGGAAAACTTCTGAAAACAGAATGACTTGAGAAACTGATCGTTTTGATATTTGTTCAGCAGTGCTGATTGCTTTTGTGTCTTGGTTATGATCGGGATATTTTTGAAATGTGAATTTATTTCATCCGCGTCGCTGAAGTTATCTGGAACAGCATTTACAGATGACTTAATTAGGCTAAGTTTCCTAAGAGAACTTCATATTACTTTACTGTTGCTCTCAGAGAGAATGTATTCCATATAAGCGCTTTTCCTCACAGAAAAGCAGCAGCAGTTTCTTTACGAAGTTCTCTATAATACTTAGTTCCAGTTGACATACTTCATTTAAACCTTAGATAAGCTTCATTACTCATTTTGCTATTATATGTCAGCCAAACACATGTCTTCCAAATTTCTTTCAAATCGAACTGTCGATTCCAAAAATATCTGAGAATATATAATATCTGTGTTTTAAAAAGAAAACTATGACGCCCTTTAACGGACAAAATATTGAGACAGCCTGTATTATACCATCTACCACCCTCTTATTATAGGATACCCAGTATATGTCGCATGTATGTAGGAATATATCAAGTTGGCGTTTGGCGTATGTCGCAAGTTTCTCCCAAACCCAATAATCCTAAAGGAATTTATGTTACATGGAGTTATCTCGTTTCAAGCGAAATCCAGTTTGTAAGTTTCCAAGTCGGACCTGCTGCTGCGGTCACTTCCCCCTTCCTCCTCGATTCTCCTCAATAATCACCTCCGGCAAAGAACGCACGTGTGCACAGTAGGAGGATAAACTCGCTTAAGAAGAATTATTTTCGAGACGTTCACTCAGAAGTCGATTAGGTGCTTTGTGGAGAAATAAAGAAGGTTCTTCTGATGACTTAAACCAACTAAGCGATGTTTATAATAATAAAAACCTATTCTTCTCCACTTTCCCAACGAAGTGGTTAAATTCGCTTGTACAGCAAATAAATACCAAAAATGTCTACGTACAGAACATACTACAATAAAACTTAATAAGAACAAAGAGGGTAAAACATTTAAAACATAGAGAGCTGAAGTTCAGAACACTGAAACAATTGAGCAAAGGTGTAACCCTATTGGAAGATCTTCTTAAACAATTCGTGTATTTTCTCGATAGTTTGACAGATACCTTAAATTACTACAAAGATGCCTTCTCATCCCAGATTCGATACGATTTACGATTCAAATCACGTACCTGGCAGCTCCCCGATTTTTTCGCTGAGAAAACAATAGCAGAATCAAATGAAAAGAATCACATCGGCATAATCTCATCAAAACAAAGCGCTATGTAATGACAGAATGACATTTGACCCGGCGCGCTGCGCTCCTCAATTTGTCTGGTGTGATCGAGAGTGCCATAGAATCAGGGTGTAGATAGCAATTGTTCCGATTTTGGTTCAGCGAAAACGTATTATATGGATATTGGCGACAAATCAATGCATGTCTCTTTGATCAATGAGTGTTCATTTGTTGGATGATTAAAGGGCGTTTTGTCTTCCTCTCATTAGTACTTTCATTTCGTGACTGTGGTGTTGTAACACTGATTAACATATCCTACCACAAGATAGCCAATTCAACTACAAGCTCTCTGCATGATATCTGAGAATATGAAATCTTTACGAGGGAGACTGGCGAACTTCCCTTGCACGTATGATGTCATGTTAGGAATAAACAATTTTCTTTGACAACTACTGAAGTCGTACTTGGTAGAATGGCTGTGATCATGAAAATTGTAATGTGAGGACGATTTCTATTTTTGATTCATTAGCTGTTTTTTGTTTGTTTTTTGGCATTAGGGCATAACGATGTCCGCGTGTACTGACGAAAAGATGACATCAATTTCAGGTTCAAAAAGCGACTCGAAATTCCGTTCACCGGTCACTTATATACAATATATAATAATGATGTAGACGATAATTTCAAATCGCATTCTACAGGGTGCAAACGTTATGATAGTCATTATTCATTACGACGAACCCAGTTTCTTCTTACTCTAGGTCCTCAAAGTTGTCCATTTATTATTTCACCCGCATTACATTTTTTTTCGCGAAGTTGTGCTTCAGTTGTTATTGGACCAGCCCCATAAACCATCCCTTTAAGTTCTCCCCAATACCAGAAATCTATCGGATTGAGGTCAGGAGATTTTGCTGGCCATTTTCCAGGATCAGGAGCAATTCGACCGATCCAGCGATTTGGATAATGTTCATTCAAATACTGAATGACGTCTTTAAAAATGTGTGGTGGTACCCGTCATGAAGAAACCACAAATTCTGTCTCCGTTGTAATGGCATGTTGTCTAAGGTCTGTTACAAAAGTTCTGGTAGGTTATTGGCTAGAAAGCTGAGGTATCCTTCTCCTGACAACTTTGGGGGTAACTCGAAAGGGCCAGTTACCTGATCGTCAAGAATACCCGCCCAAATATTTATTTTAAAACGTTGTAGACCTTCACGAATGGTATGAGGATTTTCTTGGGCTCACGTGTGAGTATTATGAATATTTAATATCCTCGTCCGTCGCTAGAATGTTTTTAAAAAAATCCGGATTTTCAATGTTTTTGTGCAAAAACTACTGACAGAATGTTAGTCTGCGAGGATAGTCTTCTGGTAACAAGGCCTGCACTCGTTGTACATGGTAGGGATAAAGCAAATTTTCTCGTAGGATTCTATGGACTATGGTATGCGATAGTCCTACGCGGCGACCTAATTCCTGAGTCGCTGATATTCGCATTGATTTCCACGATATTTAAAATTTATTCCTCCTGCTCTACAGTAAACTGTCTTTCACGAGTGCGAATATTAGTGGGCTGAACACTTCCTATATCTCGAAGTTTTTGGTACACTTGCACAAATGTCCTTCTGTCTGGGTGTGCCCGTTGGCGAAATCTGACGCGATAAATTTGAGCTGCAAGATTTGAATTCTGACGAGCTTCACCATAAACTAACAACATGTCGGCGAACTCTTGATTCGAGAACATTGTAAATAAACACGATGACGTACGCGAACAATAACTAGCCACTGTTACCGTTTGCGATCGATTGCCGGTTCGATAAGGGAGATGAATGACCGACGCGCTGTTGTCATGTGTGTTTTAAATATTCTGAACTTATATTTTGTGGTATATCAATCCGTGATTGCTTTGTTTTAAATATTACAAAATCAGTTTTGAAATTATTTAGTACAAGTTTATTTATTGCAAGCCATTTCCTCACCGATTCAAACTCAAACTCCTGCTGACCATTATGTTCCAATGAAGTGGTGTTTTCGTCGCTAATGAGTATGCTGCTATCATCAGCATAATTAACTATTGTAAAGTGATAATTCTCAATCCTATCATTGGTCTAGATGACAAATAATAAGGGACCTAACACACTGCCGTGTGGTACCTACCTCTTTACAAATGAAATCTGACTTGATGGTGATATCTTTTTTATCACTACACGTTGTTTCCTGTTTGTAAGATAGGGTTTCACCCATGTCAGTGTATTAGCCCTCATTTCATATATGTTCAATTTGTCAAACAGGATATTATGATTCAAGCACTAATATGCTTCTGAAAGGTCAAGAAATAACCCATTGCTAAATGCATATCTTCCATGTAGTTTAAAATGTTTTGTGTAAATTGGTGAAGAGCTGTAATTGAAGATGTTCCTTGAATATAGCCATGTTGACTGTTGCTAAGCAATCCACTGCACTGTTGGTTCGCTGGTTGTAAGATTCAATACAAAGAGTGGGGGGTGTCATCGGCGAATTTTAGTGAGCAATCTCGATTTGCTCAGGGGGGTCATGATATCCATAGCCCCCCTCGATCCGCCCTTGCATGTTGATAAAGCAAAGCTGCAAGCAACAGCTGCGGCGGTTGCCTAACTTCCTCTCGACATACGGAAGCTGGTAGAACCGTATACACGAATCGATCGTGGCCGTGAATGTTTGATGAGAGTTAAAATAAGCGCGATGTTTGCGAGCGGTTTTAATTCGCGGAGAACTGAGCAGATTATAAGATTAAATATACAATTTCGCGGAATTATACATGAGATTTTAATTAATATATCCTCAGCGCGCCTGTAATTACATTAAGCTACGCCGCTGAAATTCAACTTTTGATGTTGGGCGAAACGCTATGGCTTGCCGCTTCGCGTAGAGCGGATCCTTGATGAAGCTGGCGATGTTGTCATGGATCTGGATTGAGCGTTGAGCTAACAAAGGCCGTGTTTACACCGCGGGTGGCTAGCGACAGGACTGTGCTATTCTGTACTAACAGATGGCGCAACATTAATACATCTACACTTTGCGCTATGCAAGGTTCTTCACCGCGGCTGCTATGAGGAGCTTAAAGAAACTTGTTTTTGAACTTCCGAAGGTTAGTAGAACTTGCAGAAGCCTCCTCAGGCGTATTTTTCTACAAGCTCGGCACCCTAGTGATAAATTAGCGGTCTTAACGGCCTGTTCCGGATGTGCGGAATCCGGCACTGTTAGGATGGGGAGGTTAAAGTCAGGCGGGTCTGTCTGGCAGGTACATCACGCGGCGGCATCATGAAGGAAAGCTCTGAAAAGCAAAGCCCGTTAGCGTAGCGGTAGAAGTATTGATTTATACGCCATTCTTTCACTTTTTTCTATAGTCTTACCGCACATTAACTTTTTTATTCGAAACTTCGTAGCTCTTCCTGAAAAGGAAGGTCCCAGCTCTCAGAACACCTTGTATATGGAGTGGAGCATCCCTCCTTGCATTCGTTGCGTGAATATCCTGGCATTCACTAAAGGTCACATTTTGATGTATTTCGACATTACATGGAAAAAATACGAGGATTTACCTATACGTCTGTATGTGCTCCCTTTTGACTTTCGATTTTGATTCCAGATACGAGTTATTCCTACCATCCAGCAATCCACGACGACACATTCGTCAGAAGAAAACAAAGGAGAAACAGGACCACGTTCACATTGCAGCAACTGGAAGAGTTGGAGAGCGCCTTTGCTCAAACTCACTACCCCGATGTCTTCACTAGAGAAGATCTGGCTATGAAGATCAATCTAACCGAAGCGAGAGTTCAGGTGAGCTCGTAGCGATATTCCGTTCAAATAGCGAAAGAGATATTTTGAATCTGTAACTAACACAAGCATGAATAATGAGCGAAAAACATAAAAAGTAGGCAACCTACGGTGCTAGATTCATGTATGATGATTAATGATTGAGTGTCCGATTGACCCAGGAAATAACTTTTGATTTATTTTTCTAACAGTATTATTACAACCAGAATTCTAGCCGATATCTCGATCCAAAAAACGGATTATACGATTGTAACCCCCTTTCAACTCTTTGTAGCCATGTCAAAGGCGATTCAGAATAACTGAAATATTTCTAGTGTAGAAATTACACAAAAAAATAACTAAGCGGTTACAAGCCTTGTAGATTTCTACTCGACTTATGAGCCTGATGACAAAACATGAGCGTTGTTCAAATAACACTATGGTGACGCGGGATTACTCTCCAAATACATCTTATCCTAAACATGTACAAAATTCCGGGTCAATATCTTAATTCCGAAGGTGTAGTCTTTTTTCGATTTCGAAACTATAGTTTCAAAACCGTTATTTGGTAGATATTTTAGGACCCATGTTTATATACTAAGTGACATATAAATCCGAACACCCCGTTTAAATGGTTTTATTTTAATAAAAGTTGGTGAATGTATTTATCTCACTGTAAATAACAAGTGAAAAAATTTTCAGCCTTATCAGTTGGACATTCCGGTTTTTATACTGCTTTTTTTTTTAATTCACTAACGCTCTAAAAATGAATATTTCAGCCGCAGTAAAGAATCAACGTTGGCGGATTTTGGTTCTTGACATCCTTTACGATCGGTTACGATGCCTAGAGTACGGAGACCTGTACGATTTCGTCAACTTAGTGAGTTTGATAGAGGCCGTATAGTGTGACTTCGGGAAGCTGGACTTTCTTTTCGGGCAATTGCAGTTAGAGTGCAAAGAAGTGTAGACACTGTGGTTAGGTGTTGTCAGGCATGGCTTCGAGAAGGCCGTACGCAAAGAGCAAGGGGCACTGGACGCCGCCGTAGAACAACAGACCGTGAAGATCGCCGCCTAAGATTATTGGCCTTAAGGGACCGTTTCTCCACTACCAGGTCCATTGCAAATGAATGGTTTGCAGAACACGGAGGACCTATTGGCATGCGAAGTGTTTACCGACGAATGAGAAGTTTTGGCTTGTTTTCATACCGGCCACACTGGGTCCTCCCTTTAACTCGAGAACACCGACGTAATCGCCTTGAGTGGTGCAGACAACGGTCACTCTGGGATCAGGAATGGAACAGTATTGTCTTTAGTGACGAGTCTCGATTTTGTTTAGGCATGCAGGATGGTCGTGCCAGGATTAGAAGGCGACGTGGTGAAAGGAGGAATCCACAGTGTTTTGTTGAAAGACATGTTCATCACACTGTTGGGGTTATGGTTTGGGGTGCTATAGCTTATGGTTCCAGGTCACCTTTAATCTTCATCAGAGGTAACATGAACGCACAGCGTTATATCCACGAAGTTCTAGAACCCCATCTTTTACCCTATCTTGACACCCTGGCAGATCCAACTTTCCAACAAGATAATGCCCGACCACATGTTGCAAGAGTCACAATAGACTTCTTTCAACATAATGATGTCACATTGTTACCATGACCACCAAGATCTCCCGACTTATCCCCAATTGAGCACGTGTGTGATATGATGGGTAGGAGATTGCTCAATTTGCAACGTCCTCCTCAGACGCTAGAAGCACTTCGAGAGGAGTTGGTGGTTGCCTGGAATGAGATACCACAGGAGGACATTGACCACCTGATCAGAAGCATGCCTAGGCGCGTTGGAGAATGCGTAGCACATCAGGGTGCATCCACACATTATTAAAGGTCAAAGGGCTTTAAAGCAGTGCAATCATTTTGAAATTTTTATCATTTACTTATTATGCTTCATTAAGTACCTATACAAAATTTTATTAAAATAAAAACATTTAAACTGGGTGTTCGGATTTATATGTCACTTAGTATATGAGATTGTTATTTTTTTATGTAATTTATGTCCAATAAATATTGGCGTTTATTTCACATCCCTCTAATATCAAATTATGAATATGCAAACAACAAACGACTTTTAAAAACCGAATGAGTGCTGGTCACAGTTTTAAAAGTACCTACTTTTCATAACCTATGCTAGAACAAGGGAATTGAAAAGTGCAAACCCAAGCAGTTCTACATATGAGATCACCATAATAGTGCCGTTATTTACATGACCACTAAACATTAATTTTCTTATATGCGTCCCATTATTACGTGGGAAATTGTAAAATATTCAACTTTGTCGAGTGAAAAATCCAAAATTTGTACACTTTGGTAATTTGTGATGCTGAATTTGATTGTGATGGTGCAAAAATTCTCAAATATTAAGTGGCTAAAATTGTGGAGGCCACCCGTTATTCTCAGCACCAAATTGTCATCGCACTCGAAATTTGCACTCAAAAACAATGTTGCACTTTATACAGTTATATGAAAAATGTGATAATCTCTCTATCTACTACACTATTTGAAAAAAGTGACACGATACTACAAGACACCAAAGACCCAGCGGAGCATGATGTCAGCCACACAAGTAACATACGACATGATTGCCTTCACCCGTTATTATAGAATTGGCCCACAGAGAAAAATGGAAAAGGGTCTCGAAGAAGACGTAGACGTACAGCGGGCATTAAATGACGGTAATACGACACCGAAAATGTCCGTTTCTATATCGGCGGCCGCCACCGTCGGGGAGGCCCGGGATGGAATGGGAAGGAAACGGCCCATGGGAATCCCCGCGGCCAGTGTATTTCAGCTTTACCGTTTTGCAATAAAGACTAGAGATGGCCGATATTATTCTTGAATATCTTCAAAGAGTAAGAACCAAACTGCCTAAGATGTTTCCTCAAAAGTTGATGTCTCGTCTTGATATTAGCTTTATTCCAGCAACGTGTTCATGTTCAGGACATATACACGGTGTCCGGTAAATAGTACGACAAAAAATAGTGCCATAGGCGAAGGGCAGATCAACAACATATCCAAAAATCACCACAGTAAAAGTGTCACTGTCTCTGAGATATTAATTATTTTGTCTACCTTTTTTTAATCTATCTTCTGTTGCTGAACCTAGAAATGACGGGATATGTTAGTTGTTTTTCAAAATATTCTCAGATAGTTGGTCTGCCATTTGAAATATGATTTTCGATAAATACAAGTAGGTAAACATGACAAAATAATTTCTTCTTCGAAATGTTTATTTTAGAAAACTATTTCACTCAACTTTGGTATTCAGCAATGAAATAAAAATGCACTAGACTGCTACTGCAAAGTACTGCGATAAGTTACCGGCCTAATCAGCAACAATCGGTAGATCAAACGGGGAAATTTTCCGAAAAAGAAAAAAAATTAATATCTCAGAAACTGTTACTAGGGTATTTTTTGGTATGTTGTAGATCTGCCTTTCGCCTATCTTCCCCATTTTTTTGTCGTATTGTTTACCGGACACCCTGTATATAGTCATTTTTAAATATCTGCAATATTTGATGTCGTTACTTTTTGATACCAGTGATTTATAACCGTGACATGATCACGAATTTTGAATAACGATGTGACTATGAGGTATATACTGGATATGGAGATATATAAAGGATACTGGTTGTCTTACTTTGACCCGCCAAGAATGATGACTACAACTATAACAAGATAACAAACCAAATAACGTAATACTCACTAATTAACCCACATTTTTACATGTTTCCTTGATGTATGATAATTTTGTATTAAGGTTGGATTTCAACAGGATTGTCAAATCAACAGTCCGCTATTCTCCACCGGGTAACAGTCCGTCAACTACAGCGAATGAAATGATGAAAACCAAATACTGTCAAAGTATGAGATGACAGCTTGTCATTGAAACATCACCAGCTTATTGAATATTAAGAAATTACATATAATTTAGTCAAAATTTAAAATTGGATTTTTTTAATAAAATTCATGTTTTTATTTAATATTGTCGATAGTTTATTCATGTTTATATTATTTTCTTCAATTTATATGTGATTTTACTGATTCAACATCACCTACCGTGTGTTTTTTCCTATAAACCTCTCGCCGATAGCCATTAAGCACCTACTTGATGACAAGCTCTACCAAAAATTTCATAGATATTGCTCGTTTCCAAACATTCATTCACTTACTTGCCGTTCATCAGTACCATTATAGCACCGTCGATTGATGTTTCCACAAAACGATAAGAATCGATACATATCGATACTTTTTGTGGATCTAAACATACCTAATCTTGACAGCTTGTCGTTCTTGTCAACTGCGCTGGTGCGCTGTTGCCTTTGCTATCTTACATTTTGCTAAAATCTTATGACAAATAAAAGCTTCAAATGAAATAGTGACAAATATGAATGGATATGCATAGAATTTAGAGTATAAATTCATATTGCAAATTTCAGATTGTCGATGCCTGGACTTGAACCGGATTCTTTGGTATTTTTACCGAAAAGAGAATATTTACCGATAACATCATCCTCCACGATTTTTCAAAATAATTAAAATATTTCTATACTTGCCGAAAAAGAGCTGAAACCAAAAATAAAGCTAAAAGTTAATTTTATGTAGTTTTCATAGTTTTATGCCCCATGTCAATCATACAAAAGGTACAGACTGGTAGATTACCTCATCACCGGACAAGCAATAAAGAAACTGTTTTCAAAATAAATATTTAATTAAAATGAGAGGTGAGTATGAGTTCAGGGATAAAATAGAAAAATATTCACAATCCTATAGGCAAGAATCTAAAAAGGAGTTGCCAGAATGGTTGCAAAGTACTTTGAAAGAACGACCAGTTTCATGACTCAAACGTCCTTGATTTACCACTGATCTTGGGACGGCATTTACCTTATACCGAATTCAACGACACTATTTATCGATTCCGTTTTTTTTGCCGGTTCGGCAACACTGCAGATGTGCAGATCACTTCAAAGGCAATTAATATCCCAGACGTGTTATAACAATAGAAATAAGAAGAAAATATAAAAGTTTGGAGATAT